ATCGTAAGCCTGAGTGACGTCACCCATCTGTCACTGCAGGGGACTTTTGGAGTTTCATCGATGGCGGTCGCCATGTTGGAAATGCTGTCTCAGCCTAACTTTCAGTCAACCTTTAAGACAGGCTGAGAGCTGGAGCTGAGGCGGGTTTTAAGCCTCCTGACAGGCGGCCGTTACATTGCGCCCGCCTGCCAAGCATGTCAGCTATGCACCTTATTGTGATTAACTCTTATCGTTCATAAAATCAAAGCAGATGAGTTATGAAAAAATTCACCCCCCCTGTATAGTGTGTGCCGATCGAGACATGAGCTAATCAGACCTTTTTCATTCTTTGTACCAGGTTGTAATACTTTTTATTTTATGTATGTGACTTCCTGTGCTTCTGCAGCCAGCTTTAATTAGAACGGATGGTTAGAAAGTGTTCGAGTATTCTGTCACATCTGGCAGCTCTAATAACACATCAAATCAAGAAAAACTGAAATCAGTTACTTCTATCTACATGGATATATATATATATTTTTAGCCTGACTCAGAGCAGGATTAAACCGTGTACAGTAAACCTGAATGTTTGCAGATTCAGTCTGATATTGTCGCTCCCCTGAGCAGATCATGACTCATGTTTTGGTTTTGACTAAATGAAGTGACCGTGTTCGTCTCTGGGCCGCAGGGGCTGGTGGGAAGTCAAGTTTTCAGAGTGTTTGTTTTGGTGCGACACTGAGAGGAGGTTTTAGTCACACTGAGGAATGCTGCGAGTTTGGCTGACAGAGCCGTCATGAAATACGAGGGTTTGCTAGAAGCTCCAGGCGTCCTGAGCCGTCATGACATGTGATGGTGTGAGTTTGTGTTTGCATGTGTGAGGAATGTTTTGCGTATTTGAATGTTTTTTTTTATCACGTCATTTTTGTATCTTCAGGGTCGTTGGGTTGGGGGCAGGTGTTTGGACAAGATTTGGCCATATCTCTTATCATATATATTTTGATAACAAGCAATAACTAGTAACTAATTTAACCGGAAATGGAAGTGACATTGCAGACGATACAACACAAAAAAGGACAAAGCCACAGAAGCCTCTTATCATATAATCAGGTTTTTTTTTTTTTTTGTACGTTTCTAAAATTATTAAAAATCAGGTTAAATTCAAATGTTAAATTTGGCAAACTCTGGTAAAGGTTACTTTTGTCCTCTTGGGTGATTGGATGTGATATACCATAGTTAGGGCCTGCGTCCAATGGCAGTGCTCACAAACACAATCTGATTCCGCTTCTCGCCGCTGCCTAAAGTTGGCTCGTGACACTTGAGCTTCCCTCGGTAGTGACTGTAAGATCTGCTTTAAACTCCTCCCTATGTGCATTACATGCTTTTGTATCACCAGCAAAACTTTCAAACAATGGACAGGAATATCAAATGAGTTTTTCCTCCACCATCGCTGTCGACAAAGCTGATATCAGATGTCCCGCCCCTTTTTAAATTCTAACTGGTTGGTGAGGGAGATGTGAGGGAGACGTGATGTTAAAGAGCGCCGCGGTGTTATAGAAGTCTAACTATTTCAAATTGAGCATGCTGTGAGAGCGAAACAACAAAAAACAGCTGGCACCAAGGGGATCCGTGCGCTTCTGATGCTGATTGCTAAACACTCCAAATTAGGTTCTACCGGCACAAAAAAAGGCATCAGTGGGCACAGGTCCTAATTCTGAAAAACAAGAAATGTCACATGGCAGCTATTTGGCTGTTTGAGTTAGCATCTTTTTAGCGTCCTCCACAGGCCACAATAGGGAATTCAAACATTAAGATTCGGCCCCATTTGCAGATTATTTTATCTGAAAGATTCAGTTTTTTATGGGTAAGTAAAGTCTTCAAAAAGAAAACAAATATTGCTACTAGTTTTAAAATTACAGCGCTGGCTTTTGTTGAAGAAAACTACTAAAAATACTAGTAATAAATCTAATGCGACAATTATTTTACTTTAATTTTGAAGCAGTTTGCAGTAATTATTTGGGAAATTAAAACCTTGTATAAAACATAATTGACATACTTGGTTCCCTCAATTCAATTCTCCTGCAAATCCAAACATGATGCAATCAGTGAAAAAAAGACCAAACTCCTGGTGCAGAAGTCCTGACACCATGTTCTTCCTTTCTGTCTTCATTCAGAGAGAGAAAACAGTTAATGTCTTTGTGTGTTGGCTGCTGCCCTCAGCAGGTGTCGGGAATAATCCTGATGGAGTGAAAGCGGAAAACGTCTGAGATGATCATCGGTGCCAGAAGCGTTAAAGGAACGCAAGACGGAATGCACAACCAGTAATCCACAAAGATGAATCATGGAGCTGTAATCGCAGTTGTTGCAATTACACAATAGGCTTTACTACTCTGAGAGGAATGTAGGGGTAGAGGAAGACGTGTGTGTGTGTGTGTGTGTGTGTGTGTGTGTGTGTGTGTGTGTGTGTGTGTGTGTTAAGATGTGACAGCATTATAAAGTATCCATCAGTGTTGCAAGACTGAATTGGCCAGAGACTAAGGGAGGGGTGAAGAAGGAGGACAAAAAAACAGAAGGGAGAAGAGGAGTAGTGAGAGGAGCGAAGAAAAGGAGTGGATAGGGAAGGATTGGAAAGTGGAGGTGTGGTGTGGTGTGGAGAGGGGAAAAAGTTGAGGAGGAGAGTGAGATCAAAAGGACAGAGGAGGGTTCAAGTGAAAACAAGAGAGAAGAAAAAAGAAAAGGAAGCTACATAAAGGAGGGAGGAAGAGGGGAAAGGATCCAAGGGAAGGAACTAAATAAGGAGAGGAAAAGAAATGAAAGGAATTAAGGAAGCAAAAGAGGAAACAAATAGGAGGACTGGAGAGGAGAGGAGAGGAGAGGAGAGGCCACAGGGAGATCTGTGAAGTGGAGTAACTGATGGGGAGGTTGTTTGGGGAAAACCTTAAAAAAAGGAAGAATGAAAGCCTGAAAAAAAGAGACAAGAAGAGGAGAATGTTGCCTTTGATACAGGGGTGCTGAGGGGTAATTTCTGTGTGTGTGAGTGTGTGTGTGTGTGTGTGTGTGTGTGAATGTGTGTGTGCGGGGGCCAGTCTGGGGTACAATAGGGGCCTGACAGGACTACAATGGAGACTCTGTTAGTATGCAGGTAGTGTTGGGGCCACCCTGCAACCTCCCTACATGGCCCCAGGGCAAGACCTTACACACACACACACACACACACACACAAGAGCAAGAACTTCTAAACTAGATAAACTTCAGTGTGGATGTGTACCATGTAGCAGCTCACAACTTCATATACTTACATCAAGACTCCCACCAACTTACAAAAAAGGAAAAACGTACCTGTTGTGTTGCATTCAAGTTTTCAACATTTTCAGAACTTTCCAACACTTTTTGGTCACTTCATGATGAAGATGGCCGTGAGTGATACACATTCACAAAAGACACAGAGAGCCACAAAAACAGACACACAACATCAACAGCAGCTCCAGGGTCAGACTGTGTTGTTCTATCCGTGCCGTATGGTGTGGATGCTGATTCCCCGAGGGGCTTTTTGTTCCGTCATCACACAATGTGCTGCTTCTGTAAGAGGAGGAATAACTTGTGCATGCTGCTGGAAGTTTTACACACATTCCAAGTTTTCAACGTGTAGTCCGGGTTCAAGAGGAAACACGTTTGTCCATGTTGAAACAGAATGAGACCTTCTTCAGCTGCATAAGCTTTTGTGTCCCATCACAGACTGTTTATAAAATAGATGCACACAGTTCATGATACATCACCAGCAGGTTCACTGTCTGCCTTATTGAAGCCTCAAGTTTAGCATTTTGGCTGTTAATGAGGTGTTTTTTTTGAGGCAGAGGAGCATTTGAATGCAGAATCTGCAGGAGAAGGACAAAGTTTTGGTTTTCAGTCCTAGTGTGCACGAGTGTTTGAGTGGTCACTGGTCTTAAGCAGGAAAAAAAAGTTGTGTAAAGATAAAGAGGCATGAAACCTCAAAGCGGCCGTACAAAAAAGGCGATGCGTTTGGATGAAAAGACGCTGGTCGCTCATTTTTCTCCAGGCGGCCGCTTTCTGCTGCGAATGCTCTCTACTCATTGAAAACAATTGAGAAAAAGACGCTGGCGCTCAGAAATGGAAGAGGCATTTCATTGGATGAGATATAAGTTTACAATGCTCAGTACATGATGAGCCCCCCACTGTAGTCCCCCCAAGAAATGACACGTTAAGAAACACAGTTCTTTTTTTATTATTGTTGGCTGTGACAAATCTATTCAAGACTTTTTTGAATATTAAAAAAAGAAACCTCCAATGATTTATTATGAACTCTAGAGTTAAGAGTTTGTGATTTAACGCCCCACAGAGGGTGATTGTGAAATGATGGTGAGGTAAGGCTGATGAAAAAACTAAAGAAAACTCCCAAGAATCTTAAAATCATAAAGCTGACAAAAGCTTGTAACAGGTACTTATTTCCAAAGGTTAACTCTAAGTGTTTTTATTGTTCTTGGGTGCAGACACTAAGTGATACACACTGATGGCACGCAGAGACAAGACGGGAGATAATAAGTAGTGAGATGTTACGACAAGCCGGATGATTTATGGGAAGTGGGGGTGGGAGTATTTGAAAAAGGATTTTTCGGTGACGTTGGCCGAAACAACTTGTTGGAGTTTCTCTGTATTGGGGATTTTCTACAAATTAAATCTTATATTTCATGCCAAAGAAGAAAACTGGTTTCAGTCATGGCTTTCTTCAGCACCTACTCAAAAACGCTCCCCACATTTCTGAATGATATTTTGTTCCTATTTGGGTTTACAGGAACAGAACTTATGTGAAACAGGTGGTTTGCCCAATTAGTACAGGGTTCAAAACTGTTCCGGCTAATGAGGAACACAAACGCTGAAACCCTAAATCTTGGCTTTAAATCACCCTCTTACAGCTGACTTAAAAATATAACTTGTATCTATTTTTTAAAGTAACTTCATTTCTGAAGAAATGTCTAGATTTTCACCACCTTCTTCTCGATCCCTTCCAGGTACTCCAGAGTCACTGGAGGAGAAGGAGCGCCAACTCTCCACCATGATCGGTCAGCTGATCAGTCTGAGGGAGCAGCTCCTCTCCGCCCATGACGAGCAGAAAAAGATGGCCGCCTCACAGCTGGAGAAGCAGAGACAACAGATGGAGCTGGCCAGGCAGCAGCAGGAACAGGTACAGAGAGTTTAAACGGGGACGAATGTAGCTTTCTAACACTGAACCAAACATCTTTAGCTTACTGCCGCACAGCAGTCCCGACCCTCCACCTCCTGTATTTACATTAATAAAGTAGCTCTAACCTTCTCTTAAGTCTGTTTACATCAATGTCATACATTCTGTGTAAATAACCACGATGCAAAATGAATGCTTCAGATAGTTTTAGATGTTTTCTCTAATATTTTCTATTAGGCCTTAGGTGTTACATTCACATAAAAAAAACACTTTTATTTTGGTAAATATTCCTCACATGTACCTGTAAAGGTCTTATTGAAAATTTAATATTGTTTACCTAAACTTGTGTTAGTATCAGAACCCCTTACCTTTAATACATGATGTGTTTCCCAGGTTGGGAACCCTTGGGTTGTCTAAGATGTTTAATGTGTGTAAAATATGGACAAAGGCTCAGTGAAGTCACCCAATGGTGATGTAAGAGGCGGGTCAAAGCCAAACCATGACGGTCACCATATTGGAAATTCTTTCTCCACCTAATTTTTGATCAATCTAGGAACAGGCAAAAGGTGGAGCTGAGACAAGTAACTAATTAAATAATTAAATACCAGTACAGTGTGTAAGAATAAAGACAAAACCTATACAGACCCAAACTGTCTGTTGTAAACATGTTTATTTCTGCTGTATAAATGGGCATTTTAATGTGGGTGTGAACTGGATTCCCTTGGCTTTTAGAGCCAGCCTCAAGTGGAACTGCACTTCCACACTGGTTTCATTTTTCTAAATCGAATGTTGTCACTGGGGTTTAATAGTTTCACAGGTATGATTGCTTGATGGTTTACGTCTAAAAACAGCGCTTGGACTTGATTATAGTAATCTTTCTGTGTTTCTGATATTTGTTTGTAAAAATTTAATTATAGATGAATGTCATGAAGGTGAAAACTTTCACATTAAGAGCCAGGTTGTGAAAACAAAAGAAAACTTTTAAAGAATGTGAGTGTGTTTAGAGGTGTCAGGTGTCCGATGTGAAATAATTAGTGTGACAGTGAAAAAGAGAGACACGAGGCATTGACGTGTTTAGGTGAGTTGCTCTTTGTTTTTCTCTGTTTTCTGACACGTTACTGTAGGTCGACGTGCGACAGGCTCTGTTTAGACAAGTCCACATCTCCCATCACAACACATTCCACCTCTCTCACGGCTCCACAAAGGCACGGCGAGGATGGAGAGAGTGAAAAGAAAGACAGATTCCAATATCAGCCAGTCATTTGGCTGTTGAGACTTGATAGGATAATGCCCTACAGACAAACCCTGAGAAATCTGCCTTTAATGAAATATGACATGTGTGCAAATGGGGAGCCGCCTCCCATTCAGCAGCCTGTAATTACATTTCAGAATAAATACACTAAAGACTTCTCAACAAAAAAAATAGACGCAGCTGCTTTACTTTTCTGACTCAGAGTGGGCGGGGCCAAATGTTGATGTGCTGCCCCTTTAAGGATTTTAACCTCACGCTACTGGCTGAGAATCATCCCTTTAACTTTTGACTTCAGATGTTTTTTATTAGACGTTTTAACATCAAAACAACAGAGGAGGAAAACACGACAATTGCCCTTCCTGTCCATGAGTGCCGATGGGTTTGTGGGTGGGGGGGGTTCCAGATGCATGCTGGGTAATGCTAGTTGAACTAGTAAACATGTCAATCATGCAGCCTCGGTGTCAGTTAAGAGACTTGTTCAGGAACTTTTCCTGCTGTTAATTGCTTTGAATTCTTGTAGCATCCACACTGAGCTGAGGCTTTGAGATAAAATCTGAGGTCAAACTGACAGCTAACTCACTGCTACTGTTCTTCCTGTCTCATGTACTCATGCACGGCATTCAGGTTTCTGACCTATATCACTGGCTTTTCTCAGGCTCTGGTTGTTCAACTTTCACCTTTAGAGGTCAAATACTTCCTGAACTTGATTTTGAATGCAGCATGAGCCTACCATTGTTTTAAATGATAATTGTATGAATTCCATTTTTCCTGTAATTCTTCCTTTTTATGCATAATTTTAACTCGTTTACTTTTTTCCTTTTGGGGTTTTTACCCATTTTATTTTGTAGTTTTAAGAAGATGCATATCAGCTGACACTTATTTTCCTTTGATGTTAAGTCCTGAAAATGTTGATTTATTTAGCAATGAAGTGTTTTCTAAAATGATGAAAAAGCAACAACTGGCAAAAAAGCAGCGCGCTGTCTGGGTTTGGCAAAGTATAAATAAAACCTTTTTTTATGCAACAACCCGCCACCACATGCATACTTGTTGAAGATGTGCTAAAACAAGAAAAGCTGAAATGCATAATGTTCTCATTGGAGTCCTTTGTTTAAATTTTTCCTCAGTGATGAAACTGTTGTTTTATTGTATAAACAATGATGATGTCGAGGATGTAAAACACAGAATTACTATGAGGACTACAGCGTCTGTACATGGGCCACGTGCACCGACCACTAGGCTAGATTCTTGTCAATATAATACTCATAATGGCTTGATTTACATTTTTTCTCTCCTTTTGTGTTGGTTCAGATCGCCAGGCAACAGCAGCAGCTCCTGCAGCAGCAGCACAAGATCAACATTCTCCAACAACAGATCCAGGTTAGTGTGGGAGCACAACTTTTTCCTACTACTCACACACACACACACACGCACACACACACACACACACACACACACACACACACACACTCTCTCACACATTTCTCTCATTCATGCCTCACATTTTTTGGTCTGACCTCTTCTGTCGTCTGCAGATTGTTCTAATTTCTTCCCCTGTCTTTTTGTCCTCTCTGCATCCGCCTCCTTAGGGATGCTGTTAGTTTCTTTTCTGTTGTTGTCCCTCCTGACAACAACAATAACATGAGAGGTTGTGACCTTTTCTTTTATGTTTTGCTTGCTTTTGAGACGTTTCGACAGTTACACCACACAAGTCTCGCACTGACGCTCTCTAGATAAACACACACACACACACACACACACACACACACACACACACACACACACACACACACACACAACGATGACCCAGTAATTGCCCTGGTTATGGCTGGATCATTTACTGTTGCATCGATCACACACAGATCAATATCCCAGAGTCCTCCGGGTGTCCTCCTACTCTTTCTCTCTCTCCAGTTGTCTATTTATCAACATGTGTTTCCTCTCTTCGGCCCTGCATGTACTCGTCTCTCTGTCTATTTAAATCAGTAAGTTTTTATTCCACCGCTCGTATCTCTGCGCTCACATTAAACGTCTGCTGTTTCTTCTATTTACCATTCTCCCCAGCTCTCATAAACTGAGCAACAATAGATAAAACAATACAAGGTTGGCAAAAAAAGAAAGAGAAAATGTTTACCAAGACAGAAACATGCAGAAAAAAAGCATCACTTGTTGTTTCATTTATTCTCCCTTTTCCTTTCTTTGTTTACTTTGATTTTTCCTCTATTTTCTCCTTACTTCTACGTCTTTGTGACATTAATCACAAATGGACTCTTCACATATACATACTCACCAGATGACCCCCAGCTGTGAGCCAGTGCTGGTTAATCTGCGCCCTCGGGCAGATGTGGGAAGTTAGCCAGCTTGTGTTTCATTGGTTTATTTTTTTCAAGTGGTTGAACTGAAGCTGCATAAATATCTGCAGTGGGAGACAATCAGAATCCACTTGCTGCTGAGACCGGTTCAGTCTCATCCCGCGCTCTGTTTTACCCCCCATCGTGTCCCTGCGCTCCAGAGGTGAGCTCTAGTTAACGAGGGCTTGTTTTCTCTCTCTCTCTCTCCCCCCCCTTCTTTTTCTTTGAGGTCACACCCTCAGATCTTAATGAAGCTCGGTTCGGACTTCATTAGGCCTTGGAGCCTCAGGGGAGAGCGAGACCATAAAAACCTCCTCCTCGTACTCGGATCCTCTTCCACGCTGTGAAGCATGGATACTGTGTCATGTTTGGTTTTGAGGATGAAGGGATACGCAGAAAATAGCTCCTGAGAGCAGCGTGTTATCATGTAAAGCTTTACAAGCATCTGCTGTAAATTCAGGTGAAACCTACGCCTGCATATCTCTTGTTTCACACATATTATCTGAGTGAATGTATTTTAACATGCACTGGATGACTTCGATCCGCTGTTTAGTAACGATGCAGAATTAAATCCGCAGAAGAAAGCAAAACAAAGAACGCACTTTCAATGAAATGTGACTCAAATATTTCATGCATAACAGCTGGGTGTGCAACAACTTCTTGTTATTTTCTAAACAATAGCATTTCTAGCAGCTTAGCGAGGAGCATATGGTCGATCTACTGTACAGAAGTTTAGAATTATTATGGCTGAGCTCCAGGGCTTAGTCGCTGGGGTACGGCCTGTTTACGCTGTGTCGGATGTGTGTTGGCTTTAAACACACAGGCAGCGCTGCGCCGGTCTGTTTCCACTTATCAAATCCAGACCTGAGCTCCTCTCAGGCCAATACTCAGAGGAGCTGACCGAATGCTACTGTTTCAGCTGAGAAGAATAGGCCTCAGTGTGGTGAAGCCACTTTTTAAAGAGTGCCTGATGTTGCTCATATCATCATTTGAACACTCAACATTGTCCAGATGGAAACGATATTACAATAAAAAGAATATTTTGCTTAATAAAAGAAAAATGGAATAACTGCGTTTTCCTGATGTGCAGCGTTCAGCTCAGACTTGTTGCGTTGCATCATCGCAGCATATAAAGTTAACTGACATTCGGCAATTAATTAGCATTAATTTTATGACTTTTTATCATCTGTTTGGAAAGTTTTATGGATCAGCAATAAAACGGAGTCTTATCTGCGTCTGATTTATGAGTAAAGATGATGAAAACCCAGTGGGGAGCTTTGTTTTCAATCCTTTTTTCTGCCTTGTTTGCTCCTTTCTCTTCCGTCTATGGATAGTGTCAGCGTGTTTGTCGGCGAGGGTGTTGTAAGAGGTGGGGGGGCATAGTTCAAAGTGACCCAGGTTTCCTGTCATGTGGTTTTAAATGGTGTGGAGAGCCAGCAGGGAATGTCCACGGGTTAAAGAAATGCTTCCGAAGGCCTCATTCTGATAGATACGGTTACACACAGGCATGCATGCACACACAAACATGTGAGGAAATGCACTGAAATACTGTTTTTAATACGACAGAAAGTGTCAATACATGCATACACACAGACATCTGATATTAACTTGGAACAGAGACAGTTGATATTGGTGCATAAATTGAAACATGTGGAAAGTTTATATAGATTCCCCTGTCACACACACTTGCTCAAAAAGCACACAAACATCCTTACACACACACACACACACACACACACACACACACACACACACACACACACACACACAGAGCGATGGTGGGCCCTTTGTGTGCCGTAGGCAGAGCGGCCCAGCCCAGCCTGGTGGCTGACAGGCATGTGTCTTTGTTAAGTCGGTCCCTATAATGGCTCTCATATGTGGCCCATTTCCTTCAGGCCCACAAAGGCACAGGCCCTGACCGCACCGCCCGGGCCCTAGCTAACAGGCTAATTAATGACTGCAAAGCCGCACGCCTCCTCCTTCTCCTCCTCCTCCTCCTCCTCCCTCTCTCTGTTCTTCGTTTATAACTCCTCTGTCTTCTCCTCTTAGCCTGTTGAGTTATATCCCTCTTGTGCTCGTTTTGTTTTTACTTTTCAGTTTCATCTTGTGTTATTTTCTTGTGAGGAGGATGTCGTCAAAAAACCTGTACCGTAATTACAGAGGGCTGCCCGCTGTTGAAAGGCCATTAGCCCGCTGTTTGATGCTGAAGGAGAAGGTTTTGACCATCGTCCATCTGAAGTTCTGACACAGAACTGCCACTGCCACATTACATTCATTTCAACTCAAGAAAAAAACATGTTTATTATTAATGAGTCATGATTAAATTGTCACACAGTTAAACATGTTCACAGCGTCTGCCGCTCCTCTTTATCTTGTTATATCTCCGTTCGTCGGAATCAGAGCCAAAGCTTTTCTCTTGTCAATAAAGCGCTGACGATAGCTTAGCCTCTAAATAGTCTGGGTTGCTAAACCTGTGTTAAGACAAACAAGCACAAACACAATAATCCTCACACACACACAAACACACTCACACACATGCATAACAGCTAATGGAGCAGGCAAATGGCCTTTAGATGGACAGGCAGCTCCTACGTCAGCACATACAGCTTCAGAGACAATGACTCGGAAAGCCTTGAAGGGCCCATAACGTTCGATTGGACTCAGCAGCTATGGAGAATGGCGAACTCTCGCCTCTATAACAGCCCTCACTCCAGTGTACGTTAGCTTAAAGAAAAATGCTATAAGCTATAATGCTATACAGTAATTCCATTTGCGCCGACTTACATTACCCCCTGATTCTTCATTGTCCTCAGGGGTGTGGTAATACGGTAAAGTACAAAGAAAGGGAAGTAATTAAGTACTGACTTAAAGCAACATTATGCAAAGTCTGACCAATAGGGGGCAGAAGGACACCAGAACAAAGTCAGCCCTGATATAGCAATAAAGATGATGTTGCTTTGGCTAACGTGCTAGCAGACATTTGGTACTTAACTATCTTTAGTCATCTATTATAGTCATGATCTGCCAACATTCTTGCTTTTAATACTTTTCCATTTGTCTTTTAGCTGACGTTTCAATAAATCTTTGTTGTATAACTGTTTCAAGCTTTGATAGAAGTGCTCTGAAATGGAGGTTGGGGGCGCTGCCAGTGCAAAAAGAGATGTAGACACAAGCCCATAAGGACAGGTGAAGATAATCAGAGGTGTGGACTCGAGTCACGTGACTTTGGACTCAAATCAAAATTGAGTCACAGATTTGATGACTTTAGACTCGACTTGGCAAAATCATGAAAGACTTGCAGCTCGACTTGGACTTTTTTACCAATGACTCTTGACCTCACTTGGACTTGAGCCCAATGAGTCAAAAATACTTGAGCTTTCAATTTGTTATTTTAGGGCCATATGATTCAGAGAAGAAAATTGAAAGAAAAAAAAGAAGAGTCAGTCACACTGGTATTGTTTCTTTTTTTATTTTAAGAAGTAGGTTAGGCTAAATAAAACGATTTAAATATAAATCATGAGTTGTGTAAATGTAACAGATTTTCACTCTGTTTAAATGGCATTTAATTTGGTGAAGAGAGCTAATGACTTGTTTAGGACACTCAAACGTTCAAAAGTTAGGACTTTTGACTCGACTTGGGACTTGCCTGTCATTACTCTGGACTTGAGACCAAAGACTTGAGTCTTACTTGTGACTTGCAATACAATGACTTGTCCCACCTCTGATAGATGATCAAAGGTTCAGGAGACACACAAAGGAAAATGCAACTGAAGTGTCCGTCAGAATTTTATAAAAAGGAAAAGAAATGAGCACATATGAGTAAGCTGTTCCTCTGAATTGATTTTTGTTCATGCTCTGACATGTATCTCTATCAACTTATTCTGTATTACACATTGCAATCAGGGAAATGTGAACGTCATTGAAATGCTTTTGCCATCGACACGTTAACTTTTAACTGCCATGTAAGAGCGTACTTTCATGTTTATATTTTCAACTTATCATGTTGGGGTCTTAACTTTTCTCTGACAG